TTCGGTATTTTGTGGCAGAGGAAACGGACAGAGGGACCTTTCTGGCCAACCTAGCAATTGATCTGGGGTTGGGGGCGGGGGAACTGTCAGCTCGGGGATCTAGAATCGTTTCAGATGAGAACATACGATTTTTACTCCTCAATCCGCTTACTGGTGATTTGCTTCTAAATGAGAAATTAGACCGAGAGGAACTGTGCGGCCCCACAGAGCCGTGTGTGCTGCCTTTCCAGTTGTTACTTGAAAAGCCGTTTCAGATTTTCCGTGCTGAACTATGGGTCAGAGACATCAATGATCATTCTCCAGTATTTCTAGATAGAGAGATTACCTTGGACATATTAGAAAGTACTACTCCAGGGGCAACATTTCTCCTAGAAAGTGCACAGGATTCAGATGTTGGAATCAACAACCTGAGAAACTACACCATTAACTCCAATGTCTATTTCCATATTAATATCCGTGATAGTGGGGAAGGGAATGTTTATCCCGAATTGGTACTGGATAGAGTGCTGGATCGTGAAGAGGTTCCTGAGCTCAGGTTAACCCTCACCGCCTTGGACGGTGGCTCTCCGCCCAGATCGGGAACCACCCTCATACGCATCCTAGTTCTGGACGTAAATGACAACGTCCCTGAATTTGTAGAGTCGCTTTACAAGGTGCAGGTGCCCGAGAACAGCCCTGTTGGCTCCCTGGTTGTCGCTGTGTCAGCTAGAGATCTAGATACCGGAAGTAATGGAGAAATAGTCTATGCATTTTTTTACGCTACTGAAAGAATTCTCAAAACGTTTCAAATCAATTCAACATCTGGCAATCTTCATCTTAAAGCTGAATTGAACTACGAGGCAATACAAACTTATACATTAACTATTCAGGCCAAAGATGGTGGAGGGCTTTCTGGAAAATGTACTGTGGTGGTCCATGTAACAGATGTAAATGATAATCCACCGGAACTGCTCATGTCGTCACTTACTAGCCCAATTGCAGAAAAAACACCAGAGACAGTAGTAGCTGTCTTTAGGATTAGAGACAGAGATTCAGGGAACAATGCAAAGATGGTGTGTTCCGTCCAAGACCATCTCCCCTTCGTCCTGAAGCCATCAGTCGAGAATTTCTATACCCTGGTGACAAATGGGGCGCTGGACCGAGAGAGCCAGGCCGAGTACAACATCACCATCACCGTCACTGACCTGGGCACCCCCAGGCTGCAAACCCAGCACCACATGACGGTGACGGTGTCCGACGTGAACGACAACGCGCCGGCCTTCAGCCACACCGCCTACACCCTGCGGGTGCGCGAGAACAACAGCCCCGGCCTGCACATCGGCCGCGTGAGCGCCGCGGACAGAGACGCGGGCGCCAACGCGCAGGTCACCTACTCGCTGCTGCCGCCGCACGACCCGCGGCTGCCCCTGGCCTCGCTGGTGTCCCTCAACGCGGCCACCGGGCAGCTGTTCGCGCTCAGCTCCCTGGACTTCGAGGCGCTGCGCGCGTTCGAGTTCCGCGTGGGCGCGGCCGACCGCGGCTCGCCGGCGCTCAGCAGCCAGGCGCTGGTGCGCGTGCTGGTGGGGGACGCCAACGACAACGCGCCCTTCGTGCTGTACCCGCCGCAGAACGGCTCGGCGCGCTGCCCCGAGCTGGTGCCCAGGGCGGCCGAGGCGGGCTACCTGGTGACCAAGGTGGTGGCGGTGGACGGCGACTCGGGCCAGAACGCCTGGCTGGCGTACCAGCTGCTCAGGGCCACGGAGCCCGGGCTGTTCGGCGTGTGGGCGCACAACGGCGAGGTGCGCACGGCCAGGCCGCTGAGCGCGCGCGACGCCGTCCGGCACAGGCTGCTGGTGCTGGTCAAGGACAACGGCGAGCCGCCGCTGTCGGCCAGCGTCACGCTGCACGTGCTGCTGGTGGACGGCTTCTCGCAGCCCTACCTGCCGCTCCCGGCCGCGGCGGCGGCCGAGGCCCGGGCCGACCCGCTCACCGTCCACCTGGTGGTGGCCTTGGCGTCGGTGTCGTCGCTCTTGCTGGTGGCGGTGCTGGGGTTCGTGGCGGTGCGGCTGGGCAGGAGGAGCCGGGCCGCGGCGGGGGGCGGCTGCTCGCTGCCCGAGGGCCCCTTCGCGGGCCACCTGCTGGACGTCAGCGGCGCGGGGACCCTGTCGCACAGCTACCAGTACCAGGTGTGTCTGACGGGAGGATCTGGGACCAATGAGTTCAAGTTCCTCAAGCCGAATATCCCTAATCTGAATTTTCAGAGCACAGGGAGGAAAGTGGAAGAATATCCCTCCTGTCAGAACGATTTGGGTTTCTGATAAAGGATGAAAAATAAATGCTCATATTGTGAAAGTATATTTTTATTATGAAATTCATCCTGAGTTACTTGTAGAAAATTGCTGTCATAGTATTTCAAATATTGTTAAAGTCCTAGAACAAATTTCTTCACAGAGCAACGGATCCACCTTTAGCCCTAGGAAACTTCCACAAAGCATGGAATGTATATGTCTTGTAGTTTATCTCAAACAATTATGCATTTTGGCAATCTATTACATGAAAATCTTGTTTGAGATGTTTTAAGTTGGTTTTGTCTTTAAAGTTTATTGCTACTCTTATTTTCTGAGTTGGAGTGTTGTACTATAACTACTCTTAGTTTTAGAACTGTTGGTTGTAGAGTATCTTTTAAAGCTTTTTTAAAAAGCACTTACTATGCATCATACATTATGTTAACACTTTTAATCTTAGAAGTAAACCTATGAGGGGCGCCTGGGTGGTTCAGTCATTAAGCGTCTGCCTTCGGCTCGGGTCATGATCCCAGGGTCCTGGGATGGAGCCCTGCATCCGGCTCCCTGCTCTGCGGGAAGCCTGCTTCTCCCTCTGCCACTCCCCCTGCTTGTGTTCCCTCTCTCGCTGTTTCTCTCTCTGTCAAATAAATAAATAAAATCTTAAAAAAAAAAAAAAAGAAGTAAACCTATGAGGTATCTTTAGAAATGAGCAAATCAACATCTATGGAGAGGTCCAGTGAATTCACTAGGGTCACCAACTAATAAATGGTAGAGCTGAGCATCTCTCCTAGATCTGACTCTGAGAACTTGCTATGATGCTATATTGTTTTCTGTCATTAAATATCACCTGGCAAGTTTCTCCCTGATTAAGGAGAAGTCTTCTCATGTTAATATTCTTGTTCAGTCTTTTTACATTTGGAAATAATAATGTATGTAGTGGTCTGTGGTTATATGTTCTCATTTACCAATAATCCAGCTTTTCTGGATCAATTATTCAACTATTATTATTAAAGCTGTGATCTGACCAAAGCTTAAGTAAAAAAATATTGGAAGTGCTTTCTCCTTGTTATCTGAACACAAAACCTTTATTTCACAGAAAAGTTAATGGCCCTGATTAGAAATAATGCATAATTTTGATTGTTTCACTAGTTTATTTTTTGCTCACATTGCAGTAATACTTCTCCAGTGGTCCCTACCTACTTTTAAAACACATTTCCTTCCTTAATTTTAAAGTTTTTTTTTTAAAAAAATTACTTTCCTATTCAATATGTTGCAGTTGCTGAATCAGGATAGTATAAGAAAAGAATGGTTTAAATATATTATATTAAAGAAACAAATTATCATCAAATTGCTTAGAGATTCTGAAGAGTTGAGAAGCTTTGTTTGAGAAGCAATAATCTGTCATTGTTTTTCTTTAACAATTATCCAGATAATTCTTACATAACTATTCTAAATGTATTATAAGTGAAGTACTGGTAACTCTTAAAATAATGCTATTACTGTGAATTACTAATGGGATATAGCCTAAGGGCAAAAGAAAAAAACCTCACAGTAGTAAAATAATTGTTTTCATAATGTCAGGATAAAATTATCCACAATTTTTCCAACAAATCAATGAAAGGGGAAAAGGGAGGAGGGAATTTTACACAATGAAAGAAATTAAGACACACACCAAGGAAATATAATGCTTGGTGGATCTTGTTTGGGTCTTGATTCAAACAACCATAATAACTTTGAAAGAATTGGAGAAATTTGAACGTAGGTGGATATTAAATAATGTTAACCTAATTTCTTAGGTATGGGAATGGCATTGTAGTTGGGTTTTTTTAAGTCATTAAAAGTTGGAGATGCATAATGAAGTATTTATGGGTGAAAACAGTTTGAAATGAGAAAATGATGGGCAGACAAAGTGGGCAATTATGGAAAAACATTGATAATTGTTGAAGCTAGTTATGAGTACCTGGAGATTCATCATACTATTCTTCTATATGGGGTTTGGATTTCTCATAATAACAAGTTTTTTACAAATGACACTGTAAGAAGAGGAGTTAACAAAATTAGGACATCCTTCTGAGATACAGAATCAGCACTGCAGTTACAGATGATACCTCTATTAGACAAACTCTCCAGCCTTTCCTTGTTTCATCATTTGACATGATAACTTCTATCTGAATAATCCTGCTCATGCATCCTACCACATGAATCTTGGGTGTTTTTCTAATCATGGCAATGGACTCATGTAAACTGCTACCTGAGGGCATCAAATTACATGCCCTGTGTGTGTGTGTGTGTGTGTGTGCAGGTTAATATCTTTCTGCCTCAGTTCCTCATCTGTAAGATGGGGAAACTCACTGTAGCCCTATGTGGTAGATATCTCCACCTTACAGGTAGGGAAACTGAGACAAGGTTAAATAATTTGTCCAAGGTTCATAGCTACTAATTATTCCCATAGTTCATGGCAACAAAAGTATATAACTCTGAAAGTTTTCTATATGACTCCAACTGTATATTTTAAAGAATTTCTGCATATATTCTTTCTTCTTAGCTAGGTTGTTACATAAATATTTTCTTTTTGCTGAAAGTAGAAAAGCAGAAAGTCCCTACTAGTGTTTTTTCTCTTGTCTGGCCCTCAGACAATTGTCTACACTGTAAAGTCTAGGGATAGTAAAGGTAAGGCTCCATATAGTTTATCCAAGCAAGAGTTAGGAATACTGCATCCATTTTCATCCCAGAAAATGTAAGATCCTATGAGGACGCCTGGTGGCGCTGCAGGATAAGAAGGTACAAACCAGCCCTGCAGCTGCGACTCCATTAACAGGCAAAACTAAGCAGCAGAACCTGGAAGCCCACGGGAAGCTTGGATGCCATGGGAGGGAGGACTGGAAGGACTGGGTCCTCTAATAGGAGCACTCACTGGAATATTTCTGAGGTCTCTCGGGAAAGAACCACAAGTCTTGGATTCTGAAGTCTTTACAGTTCAGCAGAACCACCCTCAAGGGAGGCTTTACCAGAAAAGAACAATGGAGACCAGCGGGAAGCTCATTTGCAGACAAAGGCAAGTCCTTTTATTCATTCTCCTCTTGGGCTTATCTCAGGCGGGCTTGGAACCTAGGAGCTATTCTGTGGTGGAGGAAACTGAGGGGCATGCATTTGTAACCAATTTAGTAAAGGACCTGGGTCTGGGTCAGGGGGAACTCTCCAAGCGGGGAGCTAGGGTCATTTCCAAAGGGAACAAACTACATTTGCAGCTTGATCAGGAAACTGGAGATCTGTTGCTAAATGAAAAACTGGACCGGGAGGAATTGTGTGGTCACACGGACCCCTGTGTGCTGCGTTTCCAGGTGTTGCTAGAAAATCCCTTAGAGTTTTTTCAAGCTGAGTTACAGGTAATAGACATAAATGACCATTCCCCGGTATTCATAGACCGAGATATGTTGTTAAAAATATCAGAGAGCAGTCCACCTGGAACTACATTTCCACTGAAGAACGCTCAGGATGTGGACGTGGGCCGAAATAATATTGAGAACTATGTAATTAGCCCCAATTCCTACTTTCGGGTCCTTACCCGCAAACGCAGTGATGGCAGTAAATATCCTGAATTGGTGCTGGACAAAGCCCTAGATCGGGAGCAGGAACCTGAGCTCAGGTTAACCCTTACAGCTCAGGATGGCGGCTCTCCACCCAGGTCTGGCATCGCTCAGATCTACATCGAAGTCGTGGACATCAATGATAATGCCCCCGAATTTCAGCAGCCTCTATATAGGGTGCAGATTCCTGAGGACAGTCCCATTGGCTTCCTGATTGTCACAGTCTCTGCTACCGATGTAGACACAGGAGTCAACGGAGAGATTTCCTATTCACTTTTCCAGGCTTCTGAAGAGATTTGCAAAACCTTTGAGATCCACCCAAAGACAGGAGAAATTCGGCTGAAAAACCAACTTGATTTCGAAAGAATACAGTTCTATGAGGTCAATATCGAGGCCAGAGATGCTGGCAGTCTTTCCGGAAAATGCACCGTTCTGACTCAAGTCATGGATGTGAACGACAATGCCCCAGAAGTCACCGTGTCTGTATTTACTAGACATATACCTGAGAACTCGCCTGAGGCTGTGGTTGCAGTTCTCAGTGTTTCAGACCTTGATTCAGAAGAAAACGGGAAAATAAATTGCTCCATTCAAGATGATCTACCCTTTCTTCTGAAATCTTCCTTGGAAAACTTTTACACCCTAGTAACAGAGAGACCGCTGGACCGAGAGAGCCAGGCCGAGTACAACATCACCATCACCGTCACTGACCTGGGCACCCCCAGGCTGCAAACCCAGCACCACATGACGGTGACGGTGTCCGACGTGAACGACAACGCGCCGGCCTTCAGCCACACCGCCTACACCCTGCGGGTGCGCGAGAACAACAGCCCCGGCCTGCACATCGGCCGCGTGAGCGCCGCGGACAGAGACGCGGGCGCCAACGCGCAGGTCACCTACTCGCTGCTGCCGCCGCACGACCCGCGGCTGCCCCTGGCCTCGCTGGTGTCCCTCAACGCGGCCACCGGGCAGCTGTTCGCGCTCAGCTCCCTGGACTTCGAGGCGCTGCGCGCGTTCGAGTTCCGCGTGGGCGCGGCCGACCGCGGCTCGCCGGCGCTCAGCAGCCAGGCGCTGGTGCGCGTGCTGGTGGGGGACGCCAACGACAACGCGCCCTTCGTGCTGTACCCGCCGCAGAACGGCTCGGCGCGCTGCCCCGAGCTGGTGCCCAGGGCGGCCGAGGCGGGCTACCTGGTGACCAAGGTGGTGGCGGTGGACGGCGACTCGGGCCAGAACGCCTGGCTGGCGTACCAGCTGCTCAGGGCCACGGAGCCCGGGCTGTTCGGCGTGTGGGCGCACAACGGCGAGGTGCGCACGGCCAGGCCGCTGAGCGCGCGCGACGCCGTCCGGCACAGGCTGCTGGTGCTGGTCAAGGACAACGGCGAGCCGCCGCTGTCGGCCAGCGTCACGCTGCACGTGCTGCTGGTGGACGGCTTCTCGCAGCCCTACCTGCCGCTCCCGGCCGCGGCGGCGGCCGAGGCCCGGGCCGACCCGCTCACCGTCCACCTGGTGGTGGCCTTGGCGTCGGTGTCGTCGCTCTTGCTGGTGGCGGTGCTGGGGTTCGTGGCGGTGCGGCTGGGCAGGAGGAGCCGGGCCGCGGCGGGGGGCGGCTGCTCGCTGCCCGAGGGCCCCTTCGCGGGCCACCTGCTGGACGTCAGCGGCGCGGGGACCCTGTCGCACAGCTACCAGTACCAGGTGTGTCTGACGGGAGACTCAGGGACCAATGAGTTCAAATTCCTCAAGCCCATTATCCCCAATATCCAGGCACAGAGCTCTGGGAGGAATAGTGAAGAAAAGCCCACCTTTCGAAATAGCTCTGGATTTAATTTTCAGTAAGAATTCTTTTTTTTCTTTAAGTGTTGTACTCATATCCATATTAGTTTAGTTTTAAAACTCCTAGTTGTTATGCAGTTTCAAGCCTAATTTTAAGTGCTATATATCTGTTTTACAATGTTATTTCATCCTTTTTGCATTAATCAATAGGTAGCTTTAATTAGCACCCTTTTCTAAATAATAGTTTTAAGGTTTAACCATTTCAAAATGTGCAAGGATTTAGTTATTATTTCTTATCTAGAGAACAAATTTTTACTTTCTCCTAGTATATTTCATAGACTAATCTCTTGATCCTAATCACCTTGTACTTCCTTCATGTAAGAAGACATACCTGCACTTCTGACCTTATCTAACATTCTATTTAATCATATATTTAAAAACCATGTCATCTAGCATTTAAAAATAAATATTTCTCTGTTACTCTGCTCACGACACAATGAGATCATCTTGTGAGTGATATTGGACTCACAAGATACCTTGTAGTCATATTGTTATTTCATTTCCCTTAAATACACTACTCTTACCTTTTTCTAGTGTTCACTTTTGCTGACATATGTAAAAATAGGTCATGTCTTACAATTCCAAGAAAATGTAATAATCTGCATGAAAATGAAAATAAAAACATTTTGAAAATTTTTGTTGGAATATTGGTGGACTGTTGGAAAGATAATCACTTTTCATTTCATTTTGTAAATTTATTTTAGTTGTTAGGAAAATTTAAAATCAAGATGAGCTAAAAGTCACGAAGAAAAACAATAAATTCTTCAATCTCCAGGCCCCTCCTACAGAGTAGTTTCTCTAGAATTGCTCTCAGTATTTCTTTTTTTTAATTAAAAAAAATTTTTTTTGAAGATTTTATTTATTTATTTGACAGAGACACAGCAAGAGAGAGGGAACACAAGCAGGGGGAGTGGGAGAGGCAGGGTTCCCCCTGAGCAGGGAGCCCGATGAGATGTGGGGCTTGATCCCTGGACTCGATCCCAGGACTCGATGCCAAGACTCCGGGGTCATGACTTGAGCCAAAGGCAGTTGCTTAACCAACTGAGCCACCCAGGTGCCCCTGCACTCAACTCTGCCTAAGGCCTCCAAAACTAGGGATAGTCCCATTTAATTTCTCCAAAGAACTAACTTCCCATTCTCTGCCTCTGAGATACTTTCCTATCTATGTAGGATGATGAGAGGATCAGAGTATCCACCTCTCCCATTTACATACTGTCACCTGATAACTTCTTTTTTAGTCCTTAACTGACACTTGGCTCTTCTAAATCTTGTACCTAAATGGGATATTATAGAAAAAACCCACTAGTGTGAATATCTCCAATGCAGGAACTTTAGATGTTTCTTGGAACTGCTAACTCAATTGCTCTTTCTTCTAATTTCTGTCATCAAAATTATGGGTGTTCACCTGTGCATTCTTAGTCTGAGTTCATACCACTTTAGGGTTTTTTTTTTTTTTTTGTCATTTTAGTGAGTATTTTAAAAGGAAGGAGGATAACTGAGTGTAGTCAACCTACCTACTTTTCAGTTTCTACCCTTTTGTAGTAATCAATTTTTCAATAATGTGTCTTACATTTTAAAAAATGTCATTTAAACTTACCATTTTTAAATGTAAAATTTTTAGAAACCTCCTTGATCCATTCTTGAGAGCTTCTAGGATCAACTTCAAACAATTTCTCTCAACCTTGCACTTTGGCTAGGACTCAAACCACCCAAAGCTTAAAAGGTGGTCCCAGACAGTTTTAAAACAAAGCAAAGTCCAAAGATCGGTCTTCAGATTCTGAGACTAAAATCTCCACCTATAATTATATACCTCTATACCTTTTGAAATGATTGCTTCAAAAGCAGATCTATGATCTTAATTGTCTAACCAGAGTAAAACTAAGTTTTTGCTCTATGATTGGGAAAGAGAATTTCTCTCTTTTGGGGTTGAAAGTGAAAACAGGTGACCATTGTTGTAGCTGAATAAATCTTGTGAACCTGAGGGAAGGTGGTTTTAGGAGTAAGCCTGCTTTAAATGAAAGTAACATGTTTGTGTTTGTGTACTTATTAAGTACTTTGTGTAAATTATGAGAAACTAGAACTAAATTATGACTTTACCTAATGTGTTCCACCCCAGTATTTTACTTCATTTTCTCCCAGTTCACAGCTGAGTGCTGTGAAGGAAATCTACAGAGGTGACTTCTCGCCCTGTAACAACTATCTATTTGTGCTTCATCTCACGATTTACCCAATTCATATCCTCTGAGGGGAATCCCAAAGTGACTCGTGTATACTTTCCCTTTCCATTACAACCAAAAGAAGGCCAAGTAGTGATGCAATCTTGTTTCAGGTTTTCAATTTTCTCAGAAAGATTAGAAACTCCTGGGAGCCAGGAATCATATCTTGTATTTAAAACAATACTAACAGCATCAGGAACTTTAAAGAGTATAAAACAGTTCTTATGGAAGATAGAATATATTTGTAGTCACTTAAACAAAATTAGTAAAACAACATTTGTTTCTGAAGGACATTGATATTAATGGAATTTAGGTAGCTTTCACCTAACTGAAAATCTCTAGAGACGCATGGTGGCGCTGCAGGATAACATCACGGGGATAAAAAAAACTACACTGGATGATGTTCAGGACACTGTTACCCAGTGCGCACAGAGCAGTGGGAAGACAGAAGGAACACGCCTTCAAGGGGCGAACTACAAGCTACTCAATAGGGTTAAAAGCCATAGGCCTTGGAAGATTTGGTGGACATTATCAGAGGCACGTTTCCCAGAACTGCGAAGAAAAGCTGAAGTGATTCTGCAGGAAGCTTTCCCTAAAAGAACTATGGAGAACGGAAGGGCAGACACTCTGCAGATAAGGCAAGTCCTGCTCCTTTTTGTTTTGCTAGGAATGTCTCAGGCGGGTTCTGAGTCTGGGCGCTTTTCGGTGGCAGAGGAAATGCAGAGTGGGAGTTTTGTAGGCAATTTGGCAAAGGACCTGGGACTAGAAATGGGTGAGCTGTTCTCAAGGGGGGCTCAGGTGGTCTCTAATGATAACAAAAGGCGTTTGCAGCTGGACATAAACACTGGAGATTTGCTTTTAAGCGAATCACTAGACAGGGAGGAGCTCTGTGGCTCCACGGAGCCCTGTGTGTTGCATTTCCAGGTATTAATGAAAAACCCTTTGCAGTTTTTACGGATTGAGCTCCAGGTCAGGGATATAAATGACCACTCTCCTGTCTTCTTAGAAAAAGAAATGCTCCTAGAAATCCCAGAGAATAGTCCTGTTGGTACTGTGTTCTTACTAGAAAGTGCGAAGGATTTAGATGTAGGAATCAACGCTCTAAAGAACTACACAATAAGCCCCAACTCTTATTTCCACATTAAAATGAGAGTCAATCCAGACAATAGGAAATATCCGGAGTTGGTTCTGGACAAGGCACTGGATTATGAAGAGCAGTCCGAGTTCAGTTTCATCCTCACTGCTCTGGATGGCGGGTCTCCCGCCAGGTCCGGGACTGCCTCGGTTCGGGTGGTGGTTGTGGACATTAATGACAATTTCCCTGAGTTTGAGCAGCCATTTTATGAGGTGAAGATTCCAGAGAATAGCATATTGGGCTTAATCATTGTCACCGTTTCCGCTTGGGATTTAGACTCAGGAAAAAATGGAGAAGTATCATATTCTTTTTCCCATGCCTCAGAAGATATTCGCAAGACATTTGAAATTAATCAAAAGTCCGGAGAAATCAGTTTAACGGCATCCATGGATTTTGAAACAATTGAATCATACTCAATAATCATTCAAGCCACAGATGGGGGAGGCCTCTTTGGAAAATCAACAGTCAGAATTCAGGTGATGGATGTGAATGACAATGCTCCTGAAATTGCCGTGTCATCAATTACCAGTCCAGTACCAGAAAATTTGCCTGAGACTGTGGTTATGGTTTTTAGCACACGAGACAGAGACTCTGGGGACAATGGGAGGATGATTTGTTCTATCCCAGAAAACCTCCCTTTCATACTAAAATCTTCTCTTGAGAATTACTACACATTGGAAACGGAGAGACCGCTGGACAGAGAGAGCCAGGCCGAGTACAACATCACCATCACCGTCACTGACCTGGGCACCCCCAGGCTGCAAACCCAGCACCACATGACGGTGACGGTGTCCGACGTGAACGACAACGCGCCGGCCTTCAGCCACACCGCCTACACCCTGCGGGTGCGCGAGAACAACAGCCCCGGCCTGCACATCGGCCGCGTGAGCGCCGCGGACAGAGACGCGGGCGCCAACGCGCAGGTCACCTACTCGCTGCTGCCGCCGCACGACCCGCGGCTGCCCCTGGCCTCGCTGGTGTCCCTCAACGCGGCCACCGGGCAGCTGTTCGCGCTCAGCTCCCTGGACTTCGAGGCGCTGCGCGCGTTCGAGTTCCGCGTGGGCGCGGCCGACCGCGGCTCGCCGGCGCTCAGCAGCCAGGCGCTGGTGCGCGTGCTGGTGGGGGACGCCAACGACAACGCGCCCTTCGTGCTGTACCCGCCGCAGAACGGCTCGGCGCGCTGCCCCGAGCTGGTGCCCAGGGCGGCCGAGGCGGGCTACCTGGTGACCAAGGTGGTGGCGGTGGACGGCGACTCGGGCCAGAACGCCTGGCTGGCGTACCAGCTGCTCAGGGCCACGGAGCCCGGGCTGTTCGGCGTGTGGGCGCACAACGGCGAGGTGCGCACGGCCAGGCCGCTGAGCGCGCGCGACGCCGTCCGGCACAGGCTGCTGGTGCTGGTCAAGGACAACGGCGAGCCGCCGCTGTCGGCCAGCGTCACGCTGCACGTGCTGCTGGTGGACGGCTTCTCGCAGCCCTACCTGCCGCTCCCGGCCGCGCCGGCGGCCGAGGCCCGGGCCGACCCGCTCACCGTCCACCTGGTGGTGGCCTTGGCGTCGGTGTCGTCGCTCTTGCTGGTGGTGGTGCTGGGGTTCGTGGCGGTGCGGCTGGGCAGGAGGAGCCGGGCCGCGGCGGGGGGCGGCTGCTCGCTGCCCGAGGGCCCCTTCGCGGGCCACCTGCTGGACGTCAGCGGCGCGGGGACCCTGTCGCACAGCTACCAGTACGAGGTGTGTCTGACGGGAGACTCAGGGACCGGTGAGTTCAAGTTCTTGAAGCCCATTATCCCCAACCTCCCACCCCAGTGCCCTGGGAAAGAATCAGAAGAAAATCCTACCTCCCACCTTAGCTTTGGGTTCAATATGTAGAGACCACAATTAAGTTTCATATTCTATATGTGCCATTTTTTCATGCCACTTCTAAATCAATGTTATTTCCCCCAATTTGTGTGTATTTTAAATTGTATTCGGTGTACTTTTGTATTTCCACAAATTCTACCCGTCTTTACTTTTAAGTGAATGTTATCTTTATTTGTGCTAGTAATTAGATGGTACTTTATTCTGTATCCAGGTCTCTATGGGTGGTTTGCCTCCTTAAGTAACATCACCACATCACTTTGTCCATGGCCCTCTCTCCAGTTGAACTTTCATCCACAAGTATGCTTTTGGCAAAATAAAGCAGACCACTTTCAAAGTATTTCAAGTGTTCAAGTATTTCTTCATATCTTTTTTTTTCTTGTCATTTTTCTTGTTGGGTAGTAACAGTTGCTATTCAGAAATGTCATTTTTCCTCCTTTAAATTCACTGCATTTTTAATTAACACTTAAAAATGTTTATTGCTGTTGAAAATACACCTGAAAAATCATGTCCTATAATAGAACTGTAAGTGTAATCACCTTGTTAGAAAGGGCCAGAGGCAATTTTGTTAACATCCCTTCTTTATTCATCCTGGAGAGTGATTGTGAAGGCACATCAATATTGTGGCTACCCAGAAAGTTTTGGAATATGAAGTTATAATTTTTCAGATTTCTTGCTGATATTACAAAGCTATAATGTAATCCACTTAAATCCATCTGAATAATAATTTGTATAGTATAAAGTGGACTTAATGCTAATGTTTATAACTTTTACCTTCTGTGTATATATATGTATATACTTACATATACACACATATAATACATATACATGTATATATAAATACATACATATAGTGCCCAGTGGGAACTGATAGAAATAGTAGGCACTAATTTCTAAACTTAAGGGGTGCCTGGGTGGTTCAGTCGATTAAGCATCCAACTCTTGATTTTGGCTCAGGTCATGATCTCAGGGTTGTGAGATCGAGCCCTCTGTTGGGCTCTGCACTGAGCATGGAGCCTGCTTGGGATTCTCTCTCTACTTCTTCTGCTTCCCCCGCCCCCGCCACGTGTACTCTCTTCTCTCTCTTAAAACAAAAAACAAAAAACCAAAAACCTTGAAAGATGACAGCCAACGGAAAAATTATGTTGTATATATTATATAATACATGAGCATAATAGAAATGTTTTATAAATCTTAGCTTTTTTGGGATGAAATCTAAAATTGCCCATATTATTCCATTCTCCTTAATTTTCAAGTGTGGTTATGATTCACTAAATTGATTTCATGACCCTACTAATGGGTAGCAATCCAAAGTGTGAAAACCCCTTTTCTCAGAGATAAATGTAGGTATATGTAGGGCATTGAGAAGTATCAAAAGATAATCCTTTAAGGTTCTAACTTTTTAAAAAAATTTCAAACCATTGTAAGAGGAAGTTTTGTCTCATGTAACACGGGCACCAACCAACTACTCTTGACTTTAGTGATCTGGCTACATTACAGAAGAAAAGGCCTTCATGATTGGGGCAAGAGTTTTCCAGTGAATCTCCAATAAGCCCAAAGTCTATATGTTGTGGAAGGAAACTGTAGAGGAACAAAATGAGTGAGGGTATAGAGGAAAGGAAGTATGTGTGTGTGAGAGTAAGCACATGAAAGATGAAATGTGGGTGCCTGGGTGGCTCAGATGCTTAAGCATCTGCCTTTGGCTCAGATCATGATCTTGGGGCCCTAGGATGGAGCCCCACATCAGGCTCCTGGCTCAGTGGGGAGTCTGCTTCTCCCTCTCCCTCTGCCCCTATCCCCTTGCTCATGCTCTCTCTCTCAGTATCTCTCTGTCTCAAATGAATAAATAAAATCTTTACCAAAAAAAAAAAAAGATGAAATGGGTGAGGGTAAGGAGTATGATGGCTCTTTTGCCTCTAGTACCACAGACTAGAATCGCTGCCAGAAAGTGCCTCTTCAATAACTTTAAAAACTTTATCTTAACACTGTAGTGAGGGTAGGTATTAGTTAGTTAATAATGTCAGAAAGTAGAATTTCTTGCTGTAGCATATCCCAAATAATCTAATGTCTGCACTTTCTGAAAGCTGAAATTTCACTACCAGTTCTTCTGAACTGCATGGAGTGATTATTCTTTGAATTCAAGAAAAATGGAGGGAACAGAAGTTTGTCCATGCAGGCTAATTAAATTCTAATTTTCTATCTTTAGAAGTGGAACTAGGAGCAAGTTCGTTCCCCCCCTAAATGAAAAGCTGCTTTACAGAGAGAATGAAAATTCATATGAAATCCATGAATCAAAGTAAAGTATTAAGATTACCTCCTGCCTTTACTGCAGTTAGTAGGGAAAAGATGTATGATCACTAGCTTAAAAAGATAAAAAGCGTTATAGCACCTTAGCGTGCCAGACAAGATGCATAGACTACTGAAGGTGAAAAATAAAAATGGCCACTTGGTGCGCACCAGAATAGCCATAATCAAAAAGACAGTAATAACTGTTGGGATGTATGCAGAGAAATTGCTGCAGGTTGGAAGGAATGTGAAATGGCGTATTTGTTTGAAAACAGTTTGGCAGTTCCTCAAAATGTCAAACATATAGTTACCTTATGATGCAGAAATTCAACTCCTATGTATCTATTCAAAAGAAATAAAAGCACAATTCACAGTGAATTGTGTAAGACTGTTGAATCACAGACCTGTACCTCTGAAACAAATAATACATTATATGTTAAAAAAGAAAGAAGATAGTAGGAAGGGAAAAATGAAGGGGGGGGAAATCGGAGGGGGAGACGAACCATGAGAGACTATGGACTCTGAGAAACAAACTGAGGTTTCTAGAGGGGAGGGGGTGGGGGGATGGGTTAGCCCGGTGATGGGTATTAAAGAGGAAGCACTGAGTGTTATACGCAAACAATGAATCATGGAACACTACATCAAAAACTAATGATGATGTAATGTATGGTGATTAACATAATAAAAAAGGAAATAAAAGCATATGTTCACACATGCACAAAAACTGTATACATGCAGTTTAGTAGCATTATTCATAATATTACCAAAAGTGGAGACACCCCAAATGTCCGTCAACTGATGAATGGATAAAATATGGTGTCTCCATACAATGGGATTGTTATTATTCAACACCAAAGTGGAAAGAAGTACTGATACAGACTACAACATGGACAAACCTCAAAACATTACTCTATGTGAAAGAAGCCAGTTGCAAAATATCTTACATTGTGTGATCCCATCTAAAGGAAATGTTCTGGACAGGCAAATCTATAGGGATAGAAAGCAGATTAGTAGTTGCCTACAGCTGTAGGGAGGGTAGGGGATAGAGAGTGGCTAACGAGTAAGAGGCTTCTTTTTGGCATGATGTTCTGAAATTAGACTGTGGTGATAATTGCACAAATCTGGAAATATACTAAAACCCATTGCATTGTACACTTTATTTTTTAAAGATTTTATTTATTTATTTTAGAGAGAGAGCACAAGTGGGGGGGAGGGACAGAGGGAGAGGGAGAGAATCTCAAGCAGATTCTGCACTGAGCACGGAGTCCTATGTGGAGCTTGATCTCATGACCCCCAAGATCATGACCTGAAACTGCTCTTGTAAAGGTGACTGAAGTTTTCTGTAAAAGTTGGGTAAGGTTATATTGCTGAACAAAGCAATATAACTACCCAATGGCTTGTAAAAGTGTGTATCTCCTTCAATAGTTCAAAAGTGTGTATCTCCTTCTAACAGTAAATGACTGGGTAGAGGAGCCAACTTTGCTCATTACAATCCTTCCAGAACCAAATTTTGTTGCAAGTAACTGCAATGTCATAATCTGCATGACTGTAGCCTCATCACTGCCACATCTAGGTTCTAGTTGGCTGGGAGGGAGGAAACCCATCCAGATGTCTTCTATTCTAGACCTAGGAATGGCAAACAAAAATTCTGTTCACAATATTAGTGAGAACTTAATTCAATTCAATACCTAACTACAAGGAAGACTGGGACAGGCAATCTATGAGTAGTCATGTGCCTGCATACAATGCTATTACTGTAAAGGGAACAGATTTTGGCAGGTATCTATTAGAACCCTCCACAATGACCATCCTCTTAATCCAATCAACCATTTTAACGTCCATTTTGGGGGGGCGGTTTCTGAAGCATTTACTACCATTGATCTTCCTCATCTCCTTGAAATGCTATTTGCTTTTGGTTTCATTATTCTGAACCCAGGGCCTTCTTTGTCTTTTTTTTTTATAAAGATTTTATTTATTTATTCATGACAGAGAGAGAGAGAGAGAGGCAGAGGGAGAAGCAGGCTCCCCGCAGAGCAGGGAGCCCGACGCGGGACTCGATCCCGGGACCCTGGGATCATGACCTGAGCCGAAGGCAGACGCTCAACCATCTGAGCCACCCAGGCGCCCCCCTTCTTTGTCTTTTTAAAGATACTTTATTTCCTCTTTCCTCTAGTGAAGATGTTTTTTTTTCAGAGTTCTATGCTGAGCCTCTTCAATTGTTACCTGACATACTTTTGCCTGGTTATCTTAGAGTTTTCACAGTTTCATTTACCATATATATGCTGGTGAAACCCAAAGTCCATATCTTCCCCAGTTTATATCCTATGCTTCAGTTATATATGTACATACATACTACTCTACATAGGCACATGCATGTGAGAACACACATACATATATCCCAGAGGCACTTACCTCAATATCAGCATATCCAAAATTGACTTCATCTTTTTTCACTTCAATCATTTTTGTTCCTCAGTGTTCCTTGTCTTAGAAAATGACATGACTATCCATCCAGTTGTCCAATCCAGAGGCGTGTTAATCATCCTCGTGTCTTTCCTCTTTTTCTCCCCATGCAACCCATCAGTCACCAGATCCTAAGTCTCTTTCTAATCATCCCTCTTCTCTCCATCCACACCAGCATTACCCTTAACTGGGCTACCATTATCTCCTAACTGGTGTCTCTAATTCCAGTCATTCCTCCTGAAATAGATTCTCTATACTTCTTCTAAACTGATTTTTTAAAAATGCAGGTGAAATCATGTTAATCAAATGTTTAAAATCCTACGTCATATTTTAGTTACCCATAAAATAAAAATTTTAATTTGTGATACAACCTCTATAATCATTTATGTCCTCACCCTTTTTTTCCCAGTCTCATTTTTAAATTCTTCCCTTCTGTCGTTTAAAGTTCAAGGCATATTTAGCTTCTCTCTGTTCTTCAAAATGTCTGCCTGAAACACTCCTCCTCCTGTCAGATCACAACTTACAGCTTACTACCTTAGGAAAGCTTTTACTCTGTTCAAAAATCTGAGCTAGATTTTATTTATTTTTTAATAGATACTTAATTAG